GTGGTATATATACACAATGGAATATTACTTGGCTGGTAAAGATGTGCCTTTTGCAACAACATAGATGGAAAATGAGGTGATTATACTAAGTGGAAAAAAAAAAAAGCACAGAAAGTGAAAGATAATTCTTAGCTCAGGACTGCCGTGAACTTCTCCTGTCTCAGTTTTGTTCTAGCATGACTGTACAACCCTTTACTGCTTATCTTCAGGCAACTCAACCTTCTAAGAGTCCTCTATTTCCCAGCTGTGACCCAACGGCGAACCAGAAACTAGCAGGACCTGCGCTTAGTTTGAAGCAGGAATTTTCCCAGGTCTGCTCAGGTTTGGCTACCTTCCCAGCCTGCTGCTTGGGGGAGTCTGTTGCTTGGATTCTATTGCTTGCTGGAGCAGAAAGTTCCTGCAGTATATAGCTGGTCCACAGTAATAGTGGTGGCTAATAGTTGTCCGGGCTATATCCAGACCCCCTCCCCAAACAATAAAGAATGCTTATACTATGACAGATGAGGTGACAAGCTTCCTCATACAAACTGTATAAAACCTTACCAGTCCTATAAATTTGGGGCTGAGCCTTTTGGGAATGAGCCTACTGAGACCGCTGATGTGACAAGTAAATCTCTTTCCAAATCTCTGAATGTCTCTGATTTTGCTGGAGAATTGCCGTAACAAGTTCACAACATTATCACTTCCTTTTCCATCTCATCATTAAATTGTATTCTCAAATTTCTCTTACCTCTAGAAGCCTTTGATTTGGTGCCTGAAGACTTGGATTCAGTTTTGAACTTCACTTCGGCATAAGTGATCTCTGAAGTCATTTTGAGAAGAAATGTTCTGCTCTCTTCAAAAGACGCTTTTTGTTTCTTCCTTAATTTGAAGACCAAATATGGTGGTGACTTATACTTCCTTATCGCGCATTTATAGGCCCCAAGTATGAAAGAGCCTTGCGTCATATCACTGAGAATTATAAACCTCAGCAGTGGCCAGTCCCCAGCACTGCACATTATGAATTAAGCTTCCAACACAATCTAGCACATGTAATAGAAGTAGGAAATCAAAGGGCTGAGAAACAAAAAAGAAGGGAAAGACAGGAGAAACTAAGCAGCCAGAGAGAACTTGCCGAAGTCAACAGCAAGGCTGAAATTCAAGCATCTGTGCGTATCCACAGGCAAGCAAAATTAGAGAACCAATATCAGTGCACGCTCTCGTTCATGCACATTCTTATCGTGTGTGGTGGATCAGGTCAATTTTTTTATTTTATTTTACGAAAGTTTATTTTTTTTCCCATCTCAATTGTAATCCCCGCGGGTTTCCCATCACCAAGTCACCCGTGTGCCATCACCATA